TAAATAAACTAAATAATATATATGAACTAAATATAATATGAAATATATATGCTTCAAAATACATAAATATTATATATGTTATATATATGATATTTCATGCAGTAATCATTCAACCAATCAAATTATAGCTTTCTTATTAATTTAGTTATTGGATTTGATTTTGTGATTTTGTGATCAGAAATAGGTGACCTATACCTCTTTAGAACTGTCTCAGTAAGCTGATTCAAATGATGATAGTTTCATCGAATTCAGTCTAATGGTTCAAGAGTTATGGTCATTTTTTTAGGTTAACAGTAAATTGATGTCTATTATTTTTTAAAGTTTTTTAAAAGAAATATAATACTTGCTGATGATTTTTTTCTCAACAGCTGCACAAGAGAAACTATTTATTCCAAAATTTTTAAGTGAATTTATAAATTTAGTTAGATAATATATTATTACATATATGTAAAAAGTAATATTATTAGGTCATTAAAGTCTTCTTGTAAATGTTGCTTTATTGAATTCTCCTAATAATTTTGTAAGAAATAACTAAAGCCAAGTAATAGCATTAGTCTTAAATTAATTTCTAGTAGTTGTATAATTTTTTAAACTAGTATAAAGTTTTAAAAAACAATTCTACAATTGATGAATTAAAATTGAACATTTTGAAGCAAAAATTGTAACCAAATTAAACATTCTAAGCATTTTAAGTTTGTCATTACCTGTTAGAAAAGTACATTGCCATGTACTAAAGCCTTGCTTTTGCCAAAATTGAAAGTTAATATTAATATATTTCATTTCTTTAATTATAATATCTTCTATTTTATCAAATTGTTTAGTAGTTTTTAATTCTAAAAAAATTAAAGTTCAAAGTCTATTTGTAATTTTTAACATTAAGTGCAATTCATCAGAAATAAAATTAGTAAGTAAAATTATTGAAAAAAATAATTTTTTTTTATGTTCATTAATTGTTATATAATTTTTATTAATTTTTTCTATATTTTTTTAAATTGTCTAGTCAAGACCTAAATTTTTATTTTCATTTTTACTACAACAACATCAAAGACAAAAATAATCAGAATTGGCAGCTTTATGGTTTAAGCAAAGTGCAAGCATTTTTCAAATATAGTTTGATTTGTTATTGTCTATCTTGTTGATCTTTATAACTATCTTTAATACTGTTAAGATCAGCAATTAAAGTATTTAATACAACTTCTAAGCTTTTATAATTTTCAATACTCAGATAAAGAATTGGAGTATGATGATTATCAGGTTTAAAAATATTTTTTAAATAATTTAAAATTGCAAATATGAACATCACATGTTTTACTTTTTTGTCTATATTATGACTATTATCTAAGATCCTTATATTAATAGTAGATAAATCTATTTTTATAATTCCTTTTTTGAGCCAAACTGAAATCAGATAAGCTAATATTTTTTTAATTAGTTTATATGCATCTTTTTCAATTAACTTAGTTATTAACTTAATAATTTTAGTATTTGAAATATTGATATCTTCATTATTTGAATCTTGATTAATTAATGTAGTTGTTAAATTAAAAATTAAAGGTTTAATTGCTATATTGATTTTATTTGTAATTGTTTGTTGCATTTTTGTTATTGCCTATTTATATGTAAGATTATGACTAATAGTTGTCAGAGTTCTATATGCTAAATGTAAAATTTTTTTAACATCTATTGCCTTAATAATAGCTTTGATTTGTAATTTTTCTAAATTATTTTCTAGTTAGTTATAAATTATTTTAAACTAATTATTTTTTATTTTTTATTTTTTTAAAGTTAAGGTGAGGTTTTGCTTATATCTTTATTAATTTGTTAAAGATACCTCCAGGGGCTTTTCTGGATATAAATTACAAAATCTATTCCAATTACAAATTTGTTACAAGAGTAAAGCTCAGACT